AAAGCGTGTTAACTGATTCTTAATACTGAATTCTTTATCTTTTTAATAAAAGAAAGAGGTAAGGTGTCTTTTTTTCTGATTTGTTTCTCTGCAGGCTAAACAGGATCCACAACCATAAAAACCTTCATTTCTATTTAAAAAATGTTCTGTTTGTTTTGTCTTAAAACTATTTTTTACCAATATCTGTTTCATATGTTTGCATCCCCTATATACTATCTTTGGTTCAGGGGGTAAGATCTGTTTTAAAAAATTGGGTTGTCTTGTAGAATTGGCCAATATTTTTTTATAATTTTTCTTATTTTTACATTATTTCCACTGTGAATACATATGAAAGGCATTTTATTTGTATTCCCATTTATAGGTTGTGTTTTCTTCTTCTATGTATCTCCTTTGTGTCTAATAAGATATTTTCTTTTAATCTTCCTGACCTCTTCCATACAGGTCGATAATTCCATGGCATCATAGCCTCTTTCTATGAATTGCTGTTTTATATTCTCTGCTTGTAATGTGTAGTCTCTATCTTGCGTACAGAAATTGGCTCTTTTGGGCATTGGCCAGCCAGGGAGTATAGTGACAGCTGTTTTTGTCAATATAGCTGTTGGCATCTATCTCCTTAAAATGGTTCCTCGTGTGTATTTTTGACCCTAAAATAAAAATCTCAAGATCCAGAAAGTTGATATTATTAGTCCTGTATGTCATGGTTAAAATGATCCCCCAATCGTTGATATTTAAAAAGTTTAAAAAGCCTTTTAGATTTTCTTCACCATCTACCCATATAAAAAAATATATCATCGATATAATGACGATAGGACACCAAACTCACAACATATGTGCTGGGTAGTATAATATTTTCCTCCCAATATGCCATAAATAAATTTGCAGAACTTGGTGCGAACTTGGTGCCCATCACCGTACCCGATTTGTATAAAAAAAAAAAAAAAAAGAATCTTTAAACCAAAAGTAGTTATTTGTTAAAATTAATAAAATGCCTTCTACGATAAAATCTATTTGTATATCTTTAAAACCTGATTTTTCCAAAAAATACTTAACTGCCTCTACTCCCAAGTGGTGGGGTATAATACTGTATAATGAGCTTACATCACATGTCACTAAGAGATGATTTTCGTGCCATTTTAACTCTTCTAAAATCTGTAACATGTGTATAGTATCTTTTAAGTATGAGGGATTTTTTATAACAATTGCTTGTAATAGCTTATCGATGTATTCTGAAACTCTTGAGGAGACAGAATCTATCCCAGAAATGATGGGTCTTCCCGGGGGATGGTCTCTATTTTTGTGTACCTTAGGCAGATAGTAGAAGACTGGCGTTTTTGGATATGGAATTAATAAATATCTTTTTTCATCTTCTTTCAAAATTCCTAAAGTAACCCCTTTTTCAATATATATATTTCAAACTTTTTTTGTATATTCATACTTAGGTTTGTTGATATTTTTTATATGTATTGGTGTCCAAAAGAACACTCTCTGCTTACTGGACATAGCTGTCTGTTATTAACACAACCACCCCTCCTCCTTTATCTGCCGGCTTTATAATAAGGTTATCATCCTTTTTTAAATTATTTATGGCTTTAAACTCTGTCAGTGATAGATTTTTCTGAAATTTATTAAATTTCTTAATATTTTGTGCTTCCCTCGTTAATATTTTTTCAAATGTTATCATTTCGTCAGAAATCATAAATTTCAGAAAAAAATTGAGATTTTGGTTTTAATTCCGTTTGTGTGAAGTCTGAATTTATTTCAATAACAATGTTTGGTTCCTTATTACATTTTTTTTTTTTTTTTAAAGAGTTGTCTAATAAATGTATTTACATCAATAAAAAATGAAATTCATTAAAATCTGAAGTGGGAGCAAATTTTA